TTTTGGGGTTCCCAATTTCGGGGTTCCCAATTTCGGGGTTCCCGGTTTTTTGGGGGTTCCCATTTTTGGGGTGGTTCCCAATTTCGGGGTTCCAAATTTTGGGGTTCCCATTTTCAGGGTTCCCAATTTCGGATTCAAAATCTTGAGGTTCCCGTCTTTGGAGGGGTTCCCAATTTTGGGGTTCCTGGTTTTGGGGTTCCCAATTTCGGGGTTTTTCCCAATTTCGGGGTTCCCATTTTTGGGGTTCCCGTTTTTTTGGGGTTTCCCATTTTCGGGGTGGTTCCCAATTTTGGGGTTCCCAATTTTGGGGTTCCCATTTTCAGAGTTCCCATTTTTGGGGCTGTTCCCATTTTCTGCGTTCCCAATTTTGGGGTTCCCGTTTTTGGGGTTCCCAATTTGGGGGTTCCCGTTTTTGGGGCTGTTCCAAATTTTGGGGTTCCCATTTTTGGGGTTCCCAATTTGGGGGTTCCCGTTTTTGGGGTTCCTGTTTTCGGGGTGGTTCCCAATTTGGGAGTTCCCAATTTGGGGGTTCCCGTTTTTGGGGCTGTTCCAAATTTTGGGGTTCCCAATTTCAGGGTTCCCGTTTTCAGGGTTCCCGTTTTTGGGGGATGTTCCCAGGTTCTGGGGACGTTCCCATTTTTGGGGTTCCCAATTTTGGGGTTCCCAATTTCGGGGTGGTCCCCAATTTTGGGGTTCCCAATTTCGGGGTTCCCAATTTTGGGGTTCCCGTTTTCAGGGTTCCCATTTTTGGGGCTGTTCCCATTTTCGGGGTCCCCGTTTTTGGGGGATGTTTCCAGGTTCTGGGGATGTTCCCGTTTTTGGGGTTCCAAATTTTGGGGTTCCCAATTTTGGGGTTCCCATTTTTGGGAATACTCCTGGTTTTGGGGTTCCCATTTTTGGGGGTGTTCCCAATTTGGGAGTTCCCAATTTCGGGGTTCCCATTTTTGGGGTTCCCAATTTGGGGGTTCCCGTTTTCAGGGTTCCCAATTTCGGGGTTCCCATTTTTGGGGCTGTTCCCAATTTTGGGGCTGTTCCCAATTTGGGGGTTCCCATTTTTGGGGCTGTTCCCATTTTTGGGGTTCCCATTTTTGGGGTTCCCAATTTGGGGGTTCCCGTTTTCGGGGTTCCCAATTTGGGGGTTCCCATTTTCGGTGTTCCAAATTTGGGGGTTCCCATTTTCGGGGTTCCCGTTTTCGGGGTTCCTCAGGCCGGCCGTCTGTTCCTGGTGGATTTCGCGCTGCTCGAGGGGCTCCCCACGGGGAACATCGGGGGGCACCCCCAGTTCTTGGCCGCCCCCCTCTGCCTGCTCTGGCTCAACCCCCAGGGCCGCCTCCTGCCCGTGGCCATCCAGGTACGGCCCCAGGTGTCCCCAGGTGTGTCCCCAGGTGTCACAGGTGTGTTCCCAGGTGTCACAGGTGTCCCCAGGTGT